CATCCCCAAATTCTCCGAAGCTCCTCATTGGTCCTTAGCCCAGAACTGCCGGCCACGCCTATGTCAAGCCCACCAACCACGCCATTCACCCGTAACCAAAGGAGGATGAGGAGAAAAGGACTGTTCTCCACCCTCATCCTAGCCCCAGAGTCTAGCCCAGAGAAGGCTCCAGTCCCCGAGTCTAGCCCAGAGAGGGCTCCAGTCCCCGAGTCTACCCCAGAGAGGGCTCCAGTCCCCGATTTTAGCCCCAGAGAGGATTCTAGTCCCCGAGTCTAGCACAGAAAGGGCTCCAGTCCCAATGTCCAGCCCAAGGAGGGCTCCAGTTCCCACGTCCAGCCCAAGGAGGCCTCCAGTCCCCAAGTCAAGCCTAGAGAAAGACCCTGTTCCTACGTCCAGCCCAGAGAGGGCCCCTGTTCCAGAGTCAAGCCCAGGGAGGGCCACAGTTCCAGAGTCAAGCCCAGGGAGGGCCGCTGCTCCTACGTCAGGCCCACGGAGGGCCTCAGAACCTGGAATTTCCCCCAAGGAATTTTTTTGGGGGGGCTATAGGGCTCCGGCCATAGAGGCCGGGCCGAGTGCCGAGGCCACGGAGGCCGCTCCGCCATGGCTCCCCGAGCTGCCTGATCCGCCATGGGTCCCGGAATGGGTACCGCCCTGGAGGCCTTCCGTCCCATGTAAGCCTGTCCCTAGAGGCCTCCAGATTGCCCACCCCCCCTCCCCGTTGGAAGTTATGAGGCGCGTGGACACGCCTTCTGGGAGGGGGAGGTAATGTCACACCCCTGGACTGTCTGTCGGTTTGTTTTGCTTCCCATGTGCTCCGTGACCTGTGTGACTGTGCCCATATTTGGTTATGTTCCTGTTCCTAGTGTGTTCATTTGATTTAGCTGTGTCTCATTGAGTTTTGTTAAAGGAAATAATACTTCAGCAACTGCTGTTGGATGCATTACATTGTTCAAAAGCAACAGTAAAGACATTTATAATGTTACGAAAGATTTCTATTTCAAATAAATGCTGTTTTTTGCACTTTGTTTTCATCAAAGAATCCAGAAAATTTCTTTTTAAAATTTTCCACAAAAATATTAAGGAGCCACAACTGTTTTCAATGTTGATAATAATAGGACATGTTTTGAGCTGCAAATCAGTATATTTGAATGATTTCTGAAGGATCATGTGACACTGAAGACTGGAGTAATGATGCTGAAAATTCAGCTTTGCATCACAGGAATAAAATACATTTTAAAATATATTCACATAGAAAATAGTCATTTTAAATTGTAATAAAATTGTTACTGTATTTTGATCAAATAAATGCAGCCTTGATGAGCATCAGTGTCTTAAAAACATTACAAATCTTACAGGCCCCAAACTTTTGAACAGTAGTGTAAATCTATAAAGAATATCATAAAGAATGTGATTATTCTTCAAAATAACACAGAAGAAAGAAATGATGCGAGTAAATGATGAGAATTTTCATTTTTAGGTTAATTGTTCTCCTAAGGCAGAAAATAGTATGATCTCCAGTTGCACTCCAAAACTCGATATTAATGCCTTTAATATTACTCGATATTAATTAACTCATATTAATGCCTATTTGAATCGAATTGTTTTCATTTTCCCACCCAATTTCTCTACCACTACTCCTACATTTCTAAAATACCTACCATAGAGTTCACCAAGAGTAAACACTATTCTTAGGACTTTCATTATTTAAATAAGTGATGAATTATGTGTACGTTCATGCGGGTAAGTGCTGTGTGATGCATGCAATGTAATCTGTGCAGTGGCTTCATTCATTTTGCCCTTGAAAGGAGATAGGGCATGTAGATCAGATATGTACTTTATAAACCAGACGAGCAATCCAAAACCTTTTCCTATCACCACCTGCTGAAAAATAGCACTGTGGGGGAAAATAATGGATTAAGCACAACTTTAAGCCATAATTCCTCAGTCACCCTCATATCATTGCGGCCTCATTTTATTATCTTTCTTCTGTAAAACACAAAATGAGATGTTAAGTCTGGGTTTATAAATCTTAGACTGTGTTTCATGAAAGAAAGAAAACATCACAAGGTCTATCCAACATGACATCACTAAACAGATAAAGTATTCCTTTAAAAGCTCTCATACCTTCTCTGTTTTCACTCAGTCTGTCAACAGGAGGTAGAATTGGCAGAGGATTATTTTTTCATAACTCTCCACTAGAGGGCAAAGTTGTACAGGGAATTTCTTCATGCTCTCAGTGTTCATACTCCTGTCATGATAGTTGTAATGACTCTGCTTGGTGTCATTGGATGGTAAAATATGCATTGGTTGCAATCTAAGCAGGTATAGATTATATTGTATAGATTGTATAGAAAGTATTTGTGCCAACTTTCCCTAGTAAAAAAAGTAATATATTTAAGATCCATTTATTTCATGCTAAGTATAGTTAAAATATATTCACATATTTACTGACATATCGCTCGAGACTTACAAATATAAACAAATTTAATTAAACTTTATTTGGAGTACTACTTGTGCACAATGCACATTTCTTAATATCAACTTAAAATGTGTTTTAATGTCACAATTGATGAGAACTGTATGATCTTCGAATAATATCGCTCTTTAAATACAAGATATTTAAAGTGTACCTGAAGTATACTTGCAATAGTTCCAATTTAGCACACTAAAATATACTTCAGTATATCTTTAGCTGGATTTCAGCACTACTTACGCACAATTAAATTGCATTAAGTACAAAATTAGTTGTTCCAATTTAGCAGACTATTATTATAGTACACCAGTAGTATACCAAACGTACAATTGCAGGATATTTTTATTAAGTGCATAATATGTAAATGTATTTGGATCTAGTGGAGGGTGAGTAAATGACAACATTTGCATTTTTGACTGAACTATCCCTTTAAGGGGGATTCACAAGTACAGCGTCTTGTGATAGCAATCGGAAGTCAATGATTTTCCATGAGATTTGCACTTGTGTTTGAACGTTTGAGTTCAGCTTTATGCAAATGAATGTTATACAGTGATGAGGTGACTACTAATTAGGGTTGACACTGTATCAGATTTTGACTACACGATATTGCGATAAATAGCGATACAAATTTACAATTTTATTGCAATTTCCATAGAAATTTTGGGAAAGTATAAAATAAATGAATGAATAGTGCCATCACTCACATTCATCTTTTCACTATATTTTGTGTTTTCAAAATACACGTTTAGGGAGGTAAAGAGAGAATTTGTAATCTTAACTCTTAATCAGCACTTCCTGTACTAAGTGCACTTCCAGCACTTAGACTGGGCTGTTCACACCAAGAACCATAACTATAAAGATAAGTATATTGATAACTATAATATCATCCACACCATGTTCTGTTTATTATAAGCATATGCTACAGTTGTCATCTGCTGCTTTAATGCTCAAGCTCTTTTAACATCAGCTGGATTCCGATTGGCTGTCAATGTTTTTATCGTTCATCAGCTGGATTCCGATTGGCTGTCAATGTTTTTATCGTTCATCAGCTGGATTCCGATTGGCTGTCAATGTTTTTATCGTTCATCAGCTGGATTCCGATTGGCTGTCAATGTTTTTATCGTTCATCAGCTGGATTCCGATTGGCTGTCAATGTTTTTATCGTTCATCAGCTGGATTCCGATTGGCTGTCAATGTTTTTATTGTTCAACAGCTGGAAAAATTTTTCTAAAAGTGATTCCAATTATATTTTTTCATTTGTGATATTATCGTTTTATTTGCTGTGAAATCTTAATAGTTGAAATTATCATCTTTTATTACAGATTTTAAAAAACTCATACACTGGTGAGGTAACTTTTTCAGGTGTGGGTAGAGTGTCATCTCCGACAACATGATTTTGTGCAGTAGTAGTAGTTACGCATTTCGTCGTCTTCTTTTTTCTATATTATGATGGGTTGCAACCAGTGCAGTACCTCCACCTGCTATGTTGGAGTATCAAAAGTTTATAATTTTGTATGTGTATTATTAACACAGATATGTCATTGCACTTCATTTCCTCCCAGTTCTTTCCATGTAATACTTCATGCTTTAAGCGTAATGCCTTCCTTGTTTCTCTGTGGTCAGGTCTTCCTAGACATGGTGGAGAACTACCCCACCAGCCTGCGTGTGCTGGTTCTAGCTGAGAATGACATCAGCCCTGAGCTGCAGCAGCAAATCTCAGATCTCCTCTCTGAAGGCGAGGAGGACGAGGATAAAGATGGAGAGGCGCGCGGACGCTTGGTGACCCCCAGGGAGAAACCAGCCTGGGTTCCCCACAGCAGTAAGGGCTGACCAGCCTCACTCTCTCAGCCTGTTCTCTTTGCTTCAAGACTGTTTCATTTAGATTTCTCTTCCGCTTTCTCTTTCCCTCTTTGTGTGTGGATGACTTTCCTGGAGTAACTGGTTCTAAGAGGCTGGGGCAAAAGGGAAGTACAGAAATTGACATTACTCATGCATTATTTAGGAGAGATCATTTCTACTTACGAAATAGAAATATGAATTTCTTATAAGGGCCAAGTTGTGAGTTCTCTGTCCTGTATATCCTAAAGTCATTCGACTTAGAGGTTATTATTAGCAAGGTTAAATCTGAAAGGAATAGTTCGGCTGAAAATGATCATTCTATCATCACTCACTCACTCCAAACCTATTTGACTTTCTTTTCTACGCAAAAGATGAGTTTTTGGAAGCAAATCCTGGTCATTCCTTTCCATAAAATGAAAGTGAATGGGGACTTGGAGGTAACAAAAAAAATCACCTTAAAAGTATCAAAGAAGTACTCTATTTCACGAAAACCAATGCTGTCAATAGTGTCGATGCCCCATTTTTACAGAAAGACTGTTATACTCAATGATTTTCAGAAAAATAGCCTACATTTTTTTTATACGTTAATGATTTTTGGTACATTCCACAGAAGTCGAATGGATTACTTTTTTTGGTACTTTAATGTTTTTTTTTTTTGTCATTTTGGAGCCTGAAAGACCCAGTCCCCTCTCATTTCCATTACTGTACTTGCCTGTTCAAAAGTTTGGGGTCAATAAGATTTTTACTCAGAAAGAACACAAACAGTAAAGACTTTTAGATTGTTTTAAAAAATGATTTCAAGTACATTCTGTTCTAACTGAACATTTATTCATCAAGGAATCATGAAAAAGGCTTGCACAAAAACGTCTCAGGTTACATATGTAACCATGGCTCCCTGAGAAGGGAACGAGACACTGCGTCCTCTAGAGGTTGCTATGGGGAACGCCTTCAGCGTGATCGGTGTCTGAAGCATACATCTAAACACGACAATGATATTGGTTGGCGACAGCCTATGACGTCATTACCCTGTGCGATCACATTATAAAAGGGCACTGGGATAACACGTCATCTGCATCTTCGTCTGAAGCTTGCGTCCGAAGCATGGCAAGGAAACTAGAGGACGCAGTGTCTCGTTCCCTTCTCAGGGAACCATGGTTACATACATAACCTAAGACGTTCCCTTCCCTTGGTTGAGAGGATGACTCAAATCTCAGGAGACCCCTCGGGGCGAGACATGAGTAGTGTGTCCTGGCCGGGGCAGCTTCTTGAAGCAAACACCCAGCCAGGACATCAGGGAGCACATCACGAAGCATTATAAGCATTAGACCTGATCGGCTAAAAGGGCTCTCGCAGAGGCCCCACAACTCGGCTGCGTGGTCCAGAAAGCATGAAGTTGAAGATGCAGGGCTATCATCCAGCCTGGATCCAGTACCGCAAACACCCAGCCAGAACATCAGGGAGCACATCACGAAGCATTATAAGCATTAGACCTGATCGGCTAAAAGGGCTCTCGCAGAGGCCCCACAACTCGGCTGCGTGGTCCAGAAAGCATGAAGTTGAAGATGCAGGGCTATCATCCAGCCTGGATCCAGTACCGAGGGGTGAGCTACCATCACCATGATCGGTCAACAGCAAGAGGTTCTGACTTTAGCAGGGGAGGTGCTCGCAGAGGTCCTAACCTTAAAACACAGTCAGAAAACAAACAGGTCCAAGTAGCGCTGCGGAGAAACTAGTTAGTGAACTCACATAAACTAGCAATAGAGAGATGAAATGGATTGTACTCACCAACCACGGCTCCCGAGCATGACTCAAGCTCACGGGGCATCATCTGAAGGCGAAGCCCGAAGAGCCCTTCTGCTTAGTGGCACGGAGATCAAGATCTGTGGTGCGACGAAACTCAGCCACCTCATCAGGGGATAGACCCTGGCCTATATCCAGGTCTTCCAGCAGATTAGCCTGATAAGCCTGAAGTGTGTGCAACGAAGCTGCAGCCTGACCTGCTGCCGCTTATGCCCTGCCATTCAAACGAGATGTATCCTGAAGGGGTTTGGATGGCAGGGAGGGAGCCTTAAGAGAAGATGTCTCCCACATAGTGTTTAGATAGCACAAGGGGCATCTTTTCATAACCATTCTCACGCATCCCCTCGGTGTTGGCATAACTAGTATGCTGGAATCTGTAGATGCGGGATGAGAATGGATTTTTCCAAGCCTTCTCGATCTCCACATGAAGATCGGGAAGGAATGGAAGGCTCACCTGAGCTCAACATACGCAGAGATCCAAACTATACACTCCTATAAGAACAAAAGGAAATTCCACGAGAGGTGAACGCACTCATGCAAACGCTATCTACAAACTCGGGTAAATGGTGAAGTACTCACCTCCCCCTCAGTAGTGGACCTACTCATAGCGACCTCTAGAGGACACAGTTCGAAGTTCCCTCAGAAGGGAACTATTAAGCAGCACAACTGTTCTTAACATTGAAAATAATGAGCAGCAAATCAACATATTAAAATGATTTCTCATGTGTCTCATGATGCTGAAAATTCAGCTTTGATCACAGGAATTAATTATATTTTTAAAAAATATATAAAAATAGCAAACTGTTATTTTAAATTATAATAGTATTTCACAATATTACGGTATTTTCTGAATTTTTGATCAAGTAAATGCAGTCTTGGTGAGCAGTATAGTGTATATGAAGAAGAGCGGCCAGGATATTCTCAAAAAATACACCAGGTAAAAGAAAGTCAATGCAGGTTTGAGGGTGAATAAAGATGAGAGAATGTGAACTATCCCTAGAAAGAAGAATCTTTAGTCATTCAGAATTGGAAAAGCCAAATTCCTGTCCTCTTCACACATTTCAAACATTTACCAAATTGTCTCTGACCCTTCCAGACTCTTCCAGCTCCCAGATGGTCCTGATGACATCAGGACTGGGTGAGAGCTTTTTGGCAGAGACAGAGATGTGATACTGGAGCTGCCCATTTTTTGTGCTTGCACTGTACGACTACTGCGAGACCACCAGTTAGTGTTCAACCTCTCACGCCGCATGACCTGTAGCACTTAGCGCAAGACAGTTCAAAGCTGGAACAGAAACCTTAAACACCAAGTGACTTATAATACGCAATAGTGAATTATTTATTTTACAGATGTACAGTCTATTTATAAATATACTGTATTTAACCAATAACAGTATACTCTGTTAGATGAGCTGTATAGGGTTGATGTGATGGCCTGATGCCTGAATAAATCAGTTTACACCTTTTTAAATGCGTTTTGCTCGGCTTCTTTTGTTCTTGTTGTGTGTACAAACAGGGAATAACTGCTAAGATAAACCAGCCAAATATATATACATTATTGCATATATTGTTCATATACACACACACACACACACACACACACACACACACACACTCAAACCAAAATTTATTCAGACACCTTTAACATTTCCCAAAGCTCGCTGTTTTTGGAGATCCGTTTTTCTTATGAAATCAGCTGTAGAGTCAGTGTGGTTTTTGAGTATTTGAGATGCAGTTATAGCATGAGGGTATTAAAAGCATTTGTGCAGAGTGAATAATTCAGTCCACCATAGAGTGTGGTTCACAAGCTTTGTGCAGCATACAGCCAAAATGTATTTACACAAAATCTAGATTTACAACCCTCTTTTATGACGAGGAGAACGGCCAGAGCATATCATGTTGCAACACTATGTGAAGCATGCATTACTGTATATGCATTACATTATATAATGTATTATGTACATACATTTAACAACAGGATATTTATTCATCATCTCCATGTATTTGCTCTAAAATGGCTTTTAATCATCCCTAATTGAACACCTTAATCAACTAATCAAGGCCTTCAGAATTACTAGAAAACTATGTGCGTTATGACAGATATTTTGTTCATTCTGGAAAAAACATTAGTCGCCAGGCATATGTATATAAAGACTGGTCAACATTAATAACTTTTGCATAAAGACAATATTGAACTTGCAATCACGCTGTTTGTCTGAATATTATGACATTCAGTACATCAACACTCTCGTTTGTGTGATATTACTTAAATATATTGTGTTCAGTCAGTGTTAGAGACTGAATAAAGAATTTATATATATATAAAGAGTTCTGGCATGAAACTCTAAATGGCGCAGTCCGATAGGTCTAACTCAATCTGACCTGGTGACATTATCACATGGCACAGCTGATTGGTTCTCTCCTGTATCGGTAGCCAATGAGCTCGCTGCTCAACATTCAAATATATGACTAGTGCTTGCCGTAGCAGTTGCAGCTTGCTTCAGAAACCCTCCACCTTCCCCAGCTCCACCTGTATAGATCTGCTACAAGGTGATTCATGTATGCTATATGGGGTTATTTCATGTATGTTATATTTGCAGCAGCAATATTTCTTACATGCTCACAGCAGCATGTTGTGGATGTATTGGCAGTAGGTCTCGGTACTTGCTCTGCAGCAGCGTAGCAGATCTATTTCGCCAAGACCAAATACATTAACATTGTCATGTACATTACCATGCCAATCCCTCCGAGAGTTGTCATGACAGAAAT